ATCGTTTCAACACTTTTATATATATGTATTTAGCTATTAATTTCTAGTTCACTCAGCACCCAATTTTTATTATATAGATAAATTTATTGGGTCAAAAAATAAATTAATAATGTAATATTTGTATTCGCTTTAGTAGCATAGCATTATCTGAAGTGGGCATATTCCCAAGGGCCACCCCAGACATTTTTAACAGCGTTGAACATAATTTTTCATATGCTTTTACTGTTATTAAGGATAAAAACTTATTCTTGTTTCGAGTTAGCCTTAAAATATGTGTAAGCAATAGTAATTTGATAATGAATAAATTATGTAACTTTTGACGTCAATATGTTTACGAAAGATGAATAGTAATTATAAAAAACTGAGAAATTTCACTTTGTAGATCTAATAATTCATTAAGATAAAAAAATGGCGCAATAGACAAGCTTTAAAAAAAATGTAAAAAAAGAAAATAAATTTAAAATGTACCCCGAATGCAGGTTTAGGTGCTATTACCTTACAGCCTTCATCACTCAAAAAATTAGTATAAGCAATTGTACAATATAAATAATACTACGTAAAACTTAGTGAATATTGCTGATAGGTAACTTAATAATAACAATAATAAAAAAAAGGTTATTTTAAAAAATTGAAATAAGTCAAACAATATCCGTATGTAATTCAAATTCGTAATAAAAGCTGTTAGGTAACTGTTAGCCATTCTATACGCGATTTATCTAAACAAAAAATTTTTATTTCGTTCCGCTATAAAATCGCTTCATCCTCAAAAGAGAAACACTAAAAATCGTTTAACATTATAAATACATTATTTACACAATATCGTATAGTATACCATCGTTCTCTTTAAAAAAATATTTTTTTTATAATTTCCATAGTAACATTTCGATAATACGCACGGTATTATTTTCACCCAAAACAACACCGGATCAACAAATTACTTTTACACATTTTCTACAACAAACCACCAAGTGGCTAAGAATAATTTTCCTTTTTTTAACGGTCTATCTACGTATACGAGGGACGAGGAGGCACTTCAAGGGCGTTCTGTTCAGAGCGATCATGAGGATGTCCTTGACGGAACATTTTTGTTTTTTTGTGTTACCTGTGTTATTGGGCTCGAAGACTTACGGGACACCGTTTGTGGTATAACTGTCAGCGATTTCGGAATTTTTGGAAGGACCATCGCCGATTTCGGTTCTGACAGTTTCGATTCCAATTTTTCCACAGTTTCATCAAGCTTCTTCAAGCTGTTCTCAACTTCGTGACCATCAGGGGGTAGAGGTTCATTTTTGGATGATTTGGAGATGGACGCGGTTTTTCGGATTGTAGTGTAAACCTGTTTCAGAACCGAGTTTCCACCTTGATTACCTACTTTCGCGGCTTCTTGGAGTCTCTTCTGTTTTAAATCACAACTCCGCTTAATAGCACATATTCTGTGGTAGTCTTCAAGGGTGATATGGTAAGGCTTGCCACCCGATATGACCTTTACATACTCTATTTTTTTATCTTTCTCTGGCTTTTTATTTGGATCAATGGGAATAAGATTAGGTCGCCAATTTTTGGTGAGCGGAATCTTGATTTTCTGAGTCTGAGGCACTTTAACAAGAGGTGCTACTGGTTTGGTTGTTCCCGGATGTAATGAAATTAGGCCTGGAGGTAAACCAGGATTTCTTTGTTTTGTAGATGCTAATGCAGCAGTTGTTGGTACAGCGGTGGGGATGGACGTAGAAAGACTCGTTATTTGCGACAAGGTAATTGGGATGTTTTTAGGTATGTTTGCGGCATTGATTGTATGCGTGATAGTTTGTGGTTGTTCTTTGGTCGTTATTATGCCGCTACTACTTCGTTTAATATTGATCAACATTGAAGTATTGGTTGGTATGTTGTCATAAGCCCTTAATCTAAAAGAAATGTAAATATGTATGTAAAATCAGTCCGAGTAGTGCGTGGTTTATTATAAAATGAAGTTGCTACTAATACCCAAGTTTTACATTCTTAAACAATATCATAAGGTAAGTGGTGTAAAAAATTTCAGTTTAAAACTTTATTCTTTAGTTATTAGTTTATTATAGCTAACTGTTAGTATAAATTTTGAACATACCTATTTTGCACTGATTCACTGTAATTAATGGAATGACTTGTTGCGTTTGCAGATAGCACAAGGTCACCATTTCTATAATATTTCTCAAGAAGTATGAGATGTCTGAGGAAACTGCTAAGGTTTCCATATGGTTTCTGCAGGTCCTGCCACAATTGTTTCGTTTCTAAATCGTACTGAATCGTCGAAATGCACTTCTCCCATCCTTCGGGAGTCCTTTCTTTTACATTATTGAACTCAATGTTAGCTTGTAAACCAAGTTCTTCTTCCCCAGGGAATAACTGACGCACAGAAATGGAAGGATTCGTGCCTAATCTTTGCACAGCGTTTATACCAACTGTTTTGATGCAAACATTTGAAGAACTTAACTTCATATTCTTGGATATTTCAACAGCCTCTTTTATCGATTCTGGTCGCGGAACTCTTTTCGAGCTGACTTGGTTTTTTGGAACTGAATCTTTCCTTGGTATTTCTATATCGCTTCCACACTCCATGGCAATGCTAGGTACCAAAGTGTTGTAATCCACCATATACTCGGTTGGCGATTCAGATCTCGATTTATCATTAGAACTAGACGTCGATTCTGAAGGTATACGCATTAGATCGTGTTTTTCAGTTTCTAAATTGTGTTCAAGTTGCTGTGGACCGACAACGGTTTGATTCTTATGTACTCTTTTCTTCTTCTTCAACTGATCTTTTTCTTTTGTTGGGACAGCTATGGGTTCTTCAGCAGCTGCTCCATCCATTACTTCCAAATCATTAAAATGTAATAATCTGAAAAAACAAACGAAAAAAATAAACTACAAATTAAGAGTATATATACGTGAAAAAAAAAAGATTAAACTGTTGAAAATTAGTAAGTACAAGTTAAAACTGTCATGTAATACTTACCTCCTTTTATAGTCTTTAAAGAAATCAATGCTATTTTCTGGTCTATCATCTGTAGGTTTCAATATCAGAGTGGCGAAATATCGACACAATTTACAGACTATTGGTTTGTCAGATAGCTTGATAGGAACCCCCTCAGACATCAACGCATCATTGAGATCATTTACTTCAGGTCCAAGGTAATGTATATGGTTTCTTGCTAATCTTCTTTTACACATTGCACATACCATTAAATGTTCTAAAGCTGCAAAGTGCTCTTCACAAATAGGGATTGAATGAAGGCCCGGATTATCGAGATCTATATTGATCTAGAAATGACAACCAAAGTTAGACGAAATTTTCAGAAGATCGTTTCAACACTTACCACTTGACAAACGTTTTTGCGCATTTTGATGATCCACTTTCGTCGAAGGATGTTTGATGCAATTGTTGTACACCCAAGCACATGGCAATAGTTTTGTCGAGGTCCAGGAGCAACAATGCTGCTTCTTTTACTTAATTTGTTGGTATACGAAGGAGTGTTTGATTTACGATCAACGTGCCGATAACAAGCATCACACAAACACGAATCTCTTGTTAAGTGTTTTTCAGCTTTAAAAAAGAAAAATAACAAGTTAAACCGTGTACTAAAATATTACGCAAATTTCACTATACTTGCTAAAATTCGATCCTGTCTTTCAACTGATTTCATCTGAGCTATATGACAGGGAGTATCGAACAGACCAAACTTTCCAAAACAGTATGAACATTCATCCTTGCATAGGCGTCCTGGATGGATACTAAACGAACTGGCTTTTTCTGGAATGACAAGAACTTTGCACGAATCTTCTCCTTCAGTAACTGCTGTATCACCGTCCGAAGTATGTTCGCTGCTACCGTCTAAATAATCGTCACTCATTTTAATTTAATAAAATCACAAGCAGAAGTTTTCGAAGTATTGGAAAATTAAAAGAAAGATACATCTACTTCTAACACCTCAACCTGGCTTAGAAAATTAACGAAATGGCAGGTAAAACTATAATAATCCAAATAAAACGTATATGAAAAGATAACTTCAAAATTAAATCTCTTAAGTAATTTAATTAGATTAAAATTGTTTTAACTGCGTGGTTGTTATGAAAATTGTTGTAATATTAAAATGTAGGGAATTATAATAATAATAAT